AGAAAGTAGCAGAGGAAGAAGTAGAAAAGAAAATAAGCAAGAAAAAGAAAAACAGATGAGTGGCAAAGGCAGATGTCGGAGAGAGAAAGAGGAAGAAAAGATTAAGCAACTGAAAAATGGGAAGAAAGGCTCAACAGACAGGCGTAGAAGACAGAGACACAAGGTTTGCAGACAGACCTACATACGCACATATATACGAGATCTGTTCGGAAAGTATCGGGCCTACATTTATAACTTCGCGCCATAGTGTTCGAGCGACCTCTACCGGACAGAAATGTCAACAGTAAAGCCTCACGAATCTATTGGTTACTTACTGACACCTGCCGGACGTATAGTTCATGCACATCGTGTCTTTGTTTACAGTGCCTTTTTCGCGTTCGTCGAATTTTTATATTGTCAAAAATGACTAAAAAACAAGATCAACGAATTGGTCGCACTTCTGTCGATAGTGATTCTCGTTCCGGCCGACCTTCGACGACAAAAACCGCAGATAATATTGAGCGGGTGCGACTTGCAATCGAACAAGATCATCGTATGACTGTGAGAGAACTAGAAAAAGACCTTGGGATACCAAAAACTATCATTTCAGAAATTTCAACCGAAAATTTAGGAATGAAACGCGTGTGTGCGAAATTCATCCCAAAATTGCTCACAACAGAGCAGAAGAACATTCGCTTAGAAATCTCTCTGGACAATCTGGAAATGATCAATAATGATGATAATGTGCTTAGAAAAGTTATTACAGGTAATGAATCATGGGTTTATGGTTTTGATCCTGAAACAAAACAACAATCTTCACAGTGGAAGCATTCTGAATCGCCAAGACCCAAAAAAGCACGTCAAAGTCGGAGCAACGTTAAGTCAATGTTGATTGTTTTTTTCGATTGTGAAGGTGTTGTACATCACGAATATGCACCAACAGGTCAGACAATCAATAAAGAATACTACGTTCAAATTTTGAAACGTTTGCGTGATAGAGGAAGAAGAAAACGGCCGCACTTTTGGGAAAGTGGTGACTGGCTTCTCCATCACGATAATGCGCTAGCGCATTCATCCCATCTTGTGCAGCAGTTTTTGAACAAACACAATATCGCATTGCTTCGACAACCTCCATGCAGTCCCGACATAGTCCCTTGTGACTTTTGGCTGTTTCCAAAACTAAAAAAACCACTCAAAGGACACCGATTCGATGACAAACAAAGGTTGAAAACAATGCGACGAGTGTACTTAAGGCTATCCCTAAAAGTGAGTTCCAGGACTGTTTTAAAAAGTGGAAACATCGATGGAACCATGTTATTCAATCAAGTGGGGATTACTTTGAAGGATTCCACCCACCAGATGATAAAGAATAACGCTAGCACGAAAATATACAGGTAGGCCCGATACTTTCCGGACAGACCTCGTACATAAAACACGCACATACACGCACATACACGCACAAAACACATACATTAGAAACTACACAAACTAAACACGAGGTACAAATAGTGAAGTAGGAAATGTAAACCAAAATGTAACATAAGTTTTAAATAATATGTGTGTGTGTGTGTGTGTGTGTGTGTGTGTGTGTGTGTGTGTGTGTGTGTGTGTGTGTACTGCCCGATCGATTGCCCTTTCCACTGTTTCTTCCCCTAATGCGGACCATATCCTTTTGCCCGATAGTATGGCTTTCACCATGGGCGACAAACCGCCAGTATGGTTTTCCGATTTCATAAATAACGAATTTACCGAGTTTTGCAACGAGATTAGAGCCACCTAGACTTCTATCCTAACCAAAGTTGATCGTGTCCCCGACGAGTTAAAGAGCCTTAAATCTGCAATAGGTCTCAAAGATCGCTCCGAGCTATTTATTCTGGGCCTTCCGTAGGAGTTCCTGGGTTCATTGTATTATGCTACCGGTATGGTCTTTGAAGCGATTGGCTACCCTAACGCTCGGGGTCGCATAGCGGCCACTAGATAACGGACTGCTACTCGCTCACGTCTAAGCCCGACCGAGAATACCCTGCGGGGTCAGACGCACGCTACTACGTCCGCTTTCGTCGTGCTCATCGACTCAATGGTGGTGCGTGATATTATTTCGGAGTGCTCTGAGAAGCTCGCTGGGAAGACGGCGAGGGACATCTTCAAGTGTAGTTTTGATAATCCCGTCTTCATCCACCAGCTGTTTCTCAGCCGATCCAAATCTATTTTTGAATGCGCTTACACGTAGTCGCGAGCTGAGTTTCGCGCACTCTTTCGTCTCGGGCATGGTCATTCACCTGCGGAAAAACACGCGTTCCACCCCTATCCTCATAATGTCGGAGAGCGACCTTGATGGCTATTCACTTTTGCCTCCCGGCCAGCGTCCTCTTCCATCTGCTCAGCGCTCTGGTGCCATGTCAGTGGCTGGCACCTCGATCGGCACTCGAAAACACGCGCCGTTCAACCTCAATTTCGCGCCCAGGTTGCTAAACAATGACCCACTGCCGTCATTCCAAAAAACTCCGCTCCGCAACTTAACACAACCGACAGTTGTTTCAGCCCGACAGTTGTTTCAGCCCGACAGTTGTTTCAGCCCGACAGTGTCTATTTTTCCAGCTCAGCTATCTGAAGCGGTGCCAAATCCATTTCCTCCAGTTTGTAGTCCATGATGTCAGCTAACCCAGGACCATACCCCGCCCTTTGCTTTTTTTGTTATCGGCCATATCAATATAAATATACTAAATTCTTCCTGTCCCTTTACTCTTCTCAAAGTACAAGCCCATTCTACTCATTTTGACCTCATAGCTTTTACAGAACTTCCTCTCTGACTCACTGACTTTCGGACATCTCTGACTCACACCTCTCTCTCTTCGATTTCAATTTTTTCAGGCTTGACCGAATTGGAAAGCGGGGTGGCGGGGTGAGCTTGTACGTCAGATCTCACCTTAAATTTAGTTTTCTAGCCACTTCAGATCCAGTCTTTGATAACACACCTGAATTCATTCTTGGCGAAATAAAGTCCGACAAGAACAAGCTTTTGATGGCGGTGGTATACAGACGTCTTTCAGCATACTCTCCCACATATTTCTTCAATAGCCTGGCCACTTTCCTACCGCTGTACGGAGATGTCATTATTACTGGTGACTTTAACGCCGACCTAAATTCTAGATCTCTGTCTGATGCTCGGCGTTTGAGATCTCTCATCGACTTACGTAACCTCCACATCGTATCCACTGATTCCACTCAAATCAGAAGAATTGCTCGAAAATACTTGAAATTTTGACAGTGGCATATGGTAAGTCTACTTTAAGTCAAAAAAATGTTTACAAATGGTATAAGCTCTTTCAAGATGGCCGAGAAGACACTGACGACGAACCTCGCTCTGGAAGCCCTAGTACTTCAATAACTGATGAAAGTGTTGAAGAAGTGAAACAAATGGTGTCAAAAAATCGTATAATCACTATTAAAGAAGTGACTGAAAACGTCGACATCTCTGTTGGCTCGTGCCATGAAATTTTTTCCGAACTTTTGGGCATGAAACGTGTAACAGCAAAATTTGTTCCGAATTTGTTTAATTTTGAACAAAAGAACTGTCGAAGGAGCATTGCTCAAGAGCTGTTAAACGACGTCAATGATGATCTTGACATGCTAAAATGAGTCATAACTGGTGATGAATCATGGGTTATAACGTCGAATAAAGCCCAATCGTCCCAATGGAAGACTCCAAAGAGCCAAGACCAAAATTTCTTTGATTATCATGGCATAGTAAATCAAGAGTTCTTACCACAAAATTGTACGGTTAATAAAGAGTATTACCTTGAAGTTATGCGCTGTTTGCGAGAAGCAATACGAAAAAAACGTCTGGAATTGTGGGAAAACAATTCATGGATTTTGCATCACGATAATGCACCTGCTCACTCATCGTTGTTTGTGTCGAACTTTTTGGCCAAGAACAACACCACAGTTATGCCTCAGGCACCATAATCTCTGGATGTAGCCCCCTGCGACTTTTTTCTGTTTCCAAAACTCAAAAAAGGACGGAGGTTTGGAACGATTGAGGAGAAAAAGAAAAAATTGCTGGAACAACTCAAGGTTATACCAGAAAGTGCTTACCAGAAGTGCTTCGAGGATTGGAAAAAATGTTAGCATAAGTATATATTATATCTGAGAGGGATTACTTTTAAGGGGACAACATAAATATTGATGAATAAATAAATATTTTTTCATAAAAATAAAAATCCACCTTACTTTTTGAACACACCTTATATACGTAATGAAAATATCAATACCTTTTTTGGATCTATTAACTGTTGCTGTGTGATTTTCTTCAAGTCTAGAACGAAGGTTGTTGTAGGTTTTCCAACTTTCTTCACGTAATAATTTGTTTTATCTCTACTATCCCATTTACAAAGATAACACGGTTTGTTGGTTTAGCCAGAATGTTGTCCGAGAATCATTATGAGGATTTTAAAGTCTCTACAAACTTACCACTTATAGTTATAATATTTTATTGCTGCTAATAGAGTTTTTAAACTTGCATACGATTCATTCATAACAGTTGAATGCGCGGGGAGGGGGGGTGTATACGTTAGTATTGTGGAGTAAGACTACTTTGAGAATAAATCCCTTTGACATTTACATGATCTTGAATTTATCCTCGTAGAAACAAACATATACTGGATTCGGATTCAGTGATCCGAAAAACGTATAAAAAAAGTATTTTAAATCGATTTGACTATTTTTTCAGGATTTAAACTTCAAATGACCTCAAACCTGGCCTTACAGAGGCGAACGGAGACTGAATTCAGATTCAAGCAACCCAAAAAATATATAGATATACCAGTCTGGTTCCGAGAACAGAATCTTTTTTTTGTGTACCTATGTAATTATATATGAAAGTTTATAAACCTTATATACATTTAGTAAACAATTAACTATGTTACTACACATGATTTTAAATACATATTATATCATACCTATTAAATTTCATTTCAATTTTCACATTAAAAAACTGATTGCTCTGTACTTAATTTTTACAGCTCTGGACTCTATATTTAGAAGAATATTCAAAAAGAAGTAATCCGGACAGTGAATTCCATAATGTTACAATGAACATCTTATTAGAATTTTGGGGAAAAATTACACCATATATTTTACAGCTTGTCTTGCATTCCAAAATGGTATTTAAAACCATTTTCCTGTTATATTTTATAAATTATTAATGTATTTTTTACTCGAAAATATGTTATCTATATACAATCATACATTTTGTAATTTATACAGTTTTATTGCGCACTGATAAAAAAATTAAGCTATGGTCTATGAAATGTGTTTAAAAATGTTCATTTAAACACAAACAACTGAGAAAACTGAGTAAGGCGAACTAACTAATAATTTTGTCATGACATACTACTGCAACCGACCCCATGGAGGTAAGACGCTATATATCTGTTAGAGAAGTGAAGCAATTCCTAATACACGTAGTCTCTATCAGCCAACAACGGTCACGCTTCTCTCGGATAATATTCAATAGAACGAAACTCAGAGAGCAGGCTAGGTAATTAAGAGGGGTTCCTCTGTTATTGGAATTTCAGTCGAATATTGGGGAATTGATACTCGCCACTTACCATGCGATTTTTCGATGCCTTCTTTACTGACGATCGGTAACGTTATAAATCCTCATATTGGCGATCTGTGAGCTGCTTTATCAACAGATGTTTATCGACCTGCCTGACTGAAATCGTTTGTGACCGACTGTGTACCGACGTGCAGACCCCATGGGCCCCGCCGGCAATTACCGATTCTTGTATCGACGTGCAGATCCCATGCCCCCTGCCGGCAGTTACCAACTCTTGTATTATCGACGTGCATGCCCCATGCCCCACGCCCCATGCCCCATGCCCCACGCCCCATGCCCCATGCCCCATGCCCCTTGTTCCATGCCAAAATAAAAAAACATGTTTGCTTTATATTGATTGATTGTGATTGAGTAAAAAGTGTAGGTTTGTGTAAGTATAAAAACTTTTTTATTATCAACTTTCGGGGTTAGGTTTATTAAATAAACAGAGATATAATTTACATGAAAAAAAATCTATTTATTATCAGAAATTATAGACAACTGATCAATTATTGAGGTTGAGCATGATGATTATATGCTTACAATGATTATACATGTACATATATAATATTTGTTTTTTTTTGCTTTCCGTTATCAAACTGTTGATTTACAGAAGACGAGAGTACTTCACTTTGGATAGCGGTCCATATTATTTGAATGTTTGGTGCTGAATGATCTGATGATGCTCAAACTGCGCTACTTATAATAACTGACAACTACATTTGTCATAAATTCGAAAGAGTAAGAAGGATAGTTACGTTTAAATTTTTCCATCATATTCATCAGAGGTTCTTGTACTTTTTCTTCAAACCATTTCTGATAGGTTTGAGTTGTTAGTTTCCACTTTGAACAGCTTGACTTTTATTTTTTTTGGAGATTGATTGCTAATTTGTTCTTGATACACAGCTGTAAAGACAATGCCTACTTCCTTTAGAAATGACTTTTTGAGCAAATTAAATACCGTGGCTTGAACACATTCAGCCACATATTTGAAAAAAACCTTGTTTATTGAATAATGAATATTCGTTAATGTTTGTGTAGCTAACCAACTTTGAATAGCACTTGAAATATCATCTAGTTTAAAATTATGAATATAACCATTTCCATGACTAATAGTCTTCTGGTAATCTTCCATATACCAAAGTGCTTTCAATAAAGCTATGGAGTATTCGATTCTTCTGCAATCTTTCTCCGAATATTCGTAATAATAAGCATCTGTTATCATTTCTACACCTTCGTCATAGTAATACTCTAAGGAATCCATCTCTTTTTGAATCGTAGGGTCTGTACCATCAAACATAGAAATAATATGTGCATTCAAGCTGGCTAATACCTTAGCTTGAATAAAATAAATAAATTGTCTCATGATTGAGCTAGTGCTGCTACAGAAGGCGAACGAGCTGTGATGCAGATACAGAAAGTGAATGTGGTGTGGTTCATGAGCCAAGCTTCTTTATACAAGCTGCAAGCACATCATGGTGGGGGTCACTGACTGCTTCAACTTGTCAATGTCTGAATAACCCCTAGAAATTTCATATCAAATTCCTTTCGATGAATATCGATCAATGAACTCATTTCTTTTAATTTAGCTTTTAACTTTAATATAGTATCTTTAATATTCTTTAGTTCGACTAACAGATTATCATGAAAATTATTCAAGTTTAATTCGTCAGCTCTACCAAATTTACGTCCAAACACATCAATGCTCATCGTTGAAATGAATGAAAAAGACTGAAGTATTTATTCGACTTGGGTTTTATTTATGTAATATTCTGTTACATTGATAAAAAATTTATGGTTTTACAAATTCAAGTAAATATCCGCCCAGATATCTCAATCCAAGTGCTTTTATCTCAAGTTCTTCAATTAGAGTTACGTATTCAGAAAAAGTATACATAGCTATTATACGAGTTATACAAGTTTGGTTACATGACCACTTATAGGATTATACTTAACTATACGATCGTGTAAAATCAAACAATATGCAGCTGTTTCCGCGGGCACATCATTTTTGGTTTCAAACTCAAGACGTAAATCGACAGCAGCTTGTTTCAAAGATTCATTTTGCTTTGAACAATCTATCACTCTTAACGGTGCATGTATGATAAATTGTTTTCGATCTAAAAATGGATTGAACATACAGTCTCTATTGTAATAGTTCAATTGGAATTGAGCATACATATCATATAAGACAGAGTATTGATTGTTACTTATATCAAGATAATAATTTCTATATGGATATTGCTGAGAATTTAGAAAAAGTTTAACATTCGTTACATTACATTGATCAAATCTGCTAGGATTTTTAGTTTTATCAGACTTGCGTTTTGTTTGAAAACCTAATACAATATATCTTGGTTTTTCTAATTGATTGGATGTTTTTTACAGTCCAAAGATGTTTTGATGTTTGTGGTAATGCTGGATACTCATAAAGTTCCCACGACCGAAAACTCATAGAAATAGTCGCATCTTTCTGAATGAAATTGAACAACTGTATTTTACGCCTATCGGATATAATTACATACGGCATTAATCATTCAATTCTTGTGAGTTCTATTTTAAGAGGCTCATATGTATCAATATTATCAATTTTCACAGTATCTTGCATGACTGCGTTTAAATTATCTGTTGATCGAGTAAGAATAAGTTCATGCTTTACATTTACAACAATTTTGTGATAGTCTTCAGCAAATCCTAAAATCATTGAAAGACGTATTGACACATGAAAGTACCATTGTTCTCAGTTATCTTCTTAGTTTCTTCAATATCAAGCCAGCCAGCATTCTCCGGAAATCGACTTTGATTTTGATTCAATGAAACCAAACCTTTCATTGTACTTGTTAGTCCAATATTTTTACATTTGTCTATCTCAATGGCATTAATTTCATATCGGATATCTTCGAATAGGTGACATATAGCATTATTGACGAACTTTGTTTCAGTAACAATAGTACCATCTTGTCTTCTTATTTTTCCAACGATGTGTAGAGAACTTTTTGATGGTAAAAGACATAAATTTTGATGTTGTATCAATATGCGAATTTCATCGCTATTATTGAATGTTTGTGAATTATAAGGTTGATGTGCATGAACTTCGTAGTGAGCTATGGATTCATCAAAAATGACAGGTGCTTGCACACTAAGTATTTCTTCCATCTTAGAGATGACAAAAACACACAAATATACAAGTTAGTTTTTCAAATTTTTCACGTTTCTTCTTCTCTTAATTGCGGCGCTTCCGACGACGTTCAGACCGAGATTTTGCAGGAACTGAATGTTGCGACGTGTTAGACTTTTGGCTATCCGTCGATGACTGACTTTCTGATATAGACGTTGCCTACTTTATGATTATAAACTATTCCCGTCATAAAACTCTTTTTATGTGTAAACGGATCGTGATTGTTTGACCACGAAAGTTTATTAAATTTCCATCTTAATCAATTAGACGTAGCTGTAAATAATCGATAACTTTGACAGTTACAGGCAAATATATGATCTGTTTAGGAACTTCAATGATTTTATATCCTGGTGGTACAGCTGGAAAGAATTCGTGAATGATATGTCCCTTATTTTGATTGACATATGCTCCAGATGTTATGTTATATTCGACGCGTAGAGCGTTCACTTTGAGAATGGCAACAGGCATGTCAGAGACATTATTTAAATCTACGGGCAACAACCACTTGGTGAAACCTAATAAACGTCCAATAGAGTTATTTGATTGAAAATCGATTGGTTCATTACAAGTTATTTCACTGCATAAAGTATTGTTGTTGGGCTTTATTTCAAGTTTTATCCCTGTTAACTTCAAGTAACCTTTCAAATATTTATCTATATCACAAATTTCATAACTGCCCGTTGGTAGTTCAATTTCAATGTCACCAACTTTGTACTTATTGTGTCCAACATCAACATTTGGTATCGAATTGAATGTAAGTAATTCTACCAAACCAAGAACATAAGTTTTATCTCTATCCAGTTCTATCGGTGGAAAATAGTATGTTTCTAGTATAGATGATCTACCAGACAAACTAAGGGTTAATGATTCAAATTAAAAGGATTAAGTGATCGTTCAAAACTGTATTATTTATTCACAATTCTCAGTATTTATACAAATGGTAATTGTCATGATGCTCTAGCAAATCACATAAAAATTTCAAACATAAATGACCACAAGTATAAGTATTATAATTTTGATATTTTATATAACTGTATTTGATTTGATCAACTTTGAAATATTTCATAAGATCTAGAGGTGGTCTTAAATCACCAAAACTATCAAAGTAATAAACATTTTTGCCACTTTTTCGATATGCTACCCAATGCGTATCAGGTCCTAAATTATCATCAAGATTTACAACAGCACACTCGTTGAATCGTGGACGCGTTGGCAGAGAGTTCCTCATAAAAACACCGCGAAAGTTCGCAACTTGCAATTCGCGAGCATATTTCTTTATAACACAATCTGTTAGAGGACGATGAGGTTGTTTTACTTCAAGTTTTTTTTTTAGTCTTCTTGACTTTACTTGTTGTATTGAAGGCTACACCAAAATCTTGTTTATA